ACATGCTTGTTAGTGAACAGTAGGTCGCATACCCAGCCCACCCCACCCCACCCCACCACCACCCCACCACCACCAACTCAGGCCCACAATAGGAACCTGGAACCGACACGGGAACTCAACATTTAAAAAATTATTTACCTCATTATGTAGTTTCTTTTTGTTATATTAGTTATTTTTTCAGAATCAATATCATAGCTCAACAGGCGTACCCATAGAGGCTCTGTCTCCTGCAGCAAATAGTAAATAATAGTTATATAGGTAAATAGTTAATCATAGTTTTGTCGTGAACAAACCCATTTATTTTCCAGTTCTGTTAATTGAACATCATTTTAGAGGACTACCTTTAAGAGACAAATACAAAAATATGATTTTATTTCCACAGAGGAGACAGAAAGCCAAAGCTGGATCTGTTCCGAACTTGCATTGCTGCAATCCCTCGTCTGATACCTGATGGAATGACACCACCAGAATTGGTGGAACTCATTACAAGGCTGACGGTTCACGTAGATGAGGAGCTGAAAGGGTGAGAACCATTTGCTGTCTTCATTTATTATTTTCCTGTGGGCATTAAGCTCAAGCCACGTAATGAGAAGAGAGGCATTGGAAAACATCTTGAAAACTGGAAATATCAGTGGAAAGAAGGGTAGAGGCAGATCAAAAGAGATGATGCTGAATGGGCTGAAATGATAGCATGGAGGGATATCATCAAGAGAGCTATTCCAGGCAGCCAGGGATCATGATCTGTGGAGATGCATGAGCGCCAACTGTTCAGGGCACATGATGATGATGATGATGATTAAGCTGGAGATTGACATTGAAATACTTGAAACTTTTGGAGAAGACTTCACCAGTCTAGGTCTACTCTCTGCCTGTCTTTATGTACTGTAGTGAAATATGACCTGAAACAGGAAAATTTAGAGGATTGACTTTATTGTGCTGTGTTATCCGTTATAACTTGGTTCCTCTCCCCACGATGACTAACCCAATTCTGAGAGCATGTGAAAAAAAAAAAAAAAAACTGCGCTTGTGAACTGAATGATGCAAAACAACCTTCAGAGTATGAGGCAAACATGAAGAGAACATACTTATCTAGTTTGTCGGCATTTGTGACTTAGGTGCTGCGACATATAGTACTGAGTTTGATATCAGCTGTTGGCGATTTGGCAGCAAACTGCCTTGAGCATGTTTCAACGGCAGAATAGAGAGCTGATCTTTCAGAAAGCAGTGGCAAACTATTAAACATAATGCTGGAGTTGGTTCTGCACCATCCTATAAATTAGTAAAAAAAACACACAACTAACATGGTTGAATAGTTTAAGAATTGTACCCAGGTTTGTACTGACTTCTGATGTTGGTTCTATTCTACAGGTTGGCATTTCAGGCTCTCCAGAATTTAATGTCTGAGTCACCTTTATGGCGGGAGCATGTGATTCATGGTATTAAACTTATTTTTTTTTCCCCAGCATTATCAATATTATTTTGTTCCTTTTTTTGTTTCCAATATTTATTTTGTGTTTCTTCTTCTGTCTCAGAGGTTAGAAATAACTTTTGTTTGTTGCATAAATACATTTGTCATGGGAAGCCTCAGTGGTGTAGCAGTAAAATGCTTGTCTGCAGATCCGAAGGTTGTGAGGTCAAATCCACATGGTGCTGTATTTTTTTCCAGATGTGACCTTGGCTCCCAGGTTGACCCAGCCTTAAATGAGTACCAGGTAAAATTCTGGGAAGTAAAGGTGGCCGGCAGCCATGGAGGGCTGAAAATGTAAGCCTAGCCTGATGCACCACTGACCTGTAAAGGGACCTTTACTTTTTTTTTTTTATACACGACTTAAAAAAACATTTTTTGTTTTATACACCTTAGTTCCCAGTTCAACCTAGTCTAAAATGGATACCAGGTAATGTTCTGGGAAGTAAAGACAGCCGACGTGATGTTGACTACATCACCCATTGAGGGCCAGTTAGTCTATAAAAAATGTGAGCCTAGCCTAGCCTCAAATGCCCGATGTGCCACTGGCATGTAAGGGACCTTTCCTTTTACTTTTTATTATGTAATTGTAATTTTATAAAGCTGACTTTCACGTAGAGTTCAGATAAATTGTTCCGTTTTTGTCACAATTCAACCCTTTCATTTAGAAATATGCAGTCTTAGAGCAGACAGTCACCCGCTGGACACCCAGGTGTATCAATCGATGATTCTTTTCTTCTTAGCTTTCATCAAGTCCAAGGGGGCGCTGAGTGGTCTCGTGGTATGGTGTCTGCCTCAATTGCTGGAGGTCTCAGGTTCAAGCCCCGGTGAAGGCTGGGATTTTTTCACGTGGACTTCTAGTTATTTTCCTTGGTCTCTGTGTAGTAAGATCAGACGTCCGTGTGTATTGTTGCACACGTAAAAAATAAAAAATACCTTGGCACTTGAGAATAGAAAAGAATAGAATAGCCTAACTGTGCTGCCTGGGCAAAATTTGGAGTTGAAAACCTACGCAAAGTATTTCAGGATCCTCGCTGGTGCAACAGAGTTTGTGCACTGTGCTGAGATTCTTCAGACTCAGGCTTGAGTTAGAAGTAGAACTGAGCACTTATGGGTTACACCAGTGTGCCATGATGTTGATCCGTCAAATTAAAAAAAAAAAAAAAAAAGTTCTAGGTGAATGCAAGCCTTCACTTAATGTCAGAAGCTACTGCAACATCACTTGTGTAAATTATTCGCATCATCAGGCTTGTACTTTGTAACTTGCAGTGCAGCGCTTTCAGCAGACGGCTAAACAATCTATGGGGAGAGACCGAGCCATATAGGATAAAACTCGGTGCAGTGAAGTCGATCGTCTCAGCTTTAGCTTTCAACTTTCACTGCTGAAGCCAGTAATGCTGTTTCTATTTTACTTCATGGAAAAGAATTTTGCGTATTGGAAAAATTTGCGGTTAACTTGCTTTCTGTCACTTGTTTGACAAGAGTAGCACCTCTGATTTAAAATGTAAACCTTTTACCCCGAGAAGCTACAAAATTTACACTTTGGCTCGGTCCTAATTCCCCATCACATTTCCCACTTGTCTTTACTGACCTGTTTACGAGACGCAGTTAATGCTGTCAGCTGTTTTCATGCCTATGCAAATGTTTAAGAGGTCAGGATATAAATACAGTAACTAAATATAGTGTGAAAAAAAAGGGGAGGTCCTTTAAGTGAAATAGCTTTTTTTAAGCTGTTGATGTCATTTTCTTATAAGCCTCAATGATAGAGGTAATGAGGGCATGGTATGAGTTACATGATACTATTTTTTTTCATAAGGTTCAGGGGAATTAATTCCATTTAAGTTTTCACCCTGTTCATGTTGATTAATTACCCCCTTCATATATCTTAATGAGTTTTGAATTGAAAAAAAAAACAAGTAAATGCAATGTTGACAAATTTGTTAGTGACATGTAACTTTTTCGTTGTTTAAGGTTTTTTATGGAATTACTTTGGCGACGTGACCCATTTTTGTGTGTAGGATTGAGAGGGTTTATAAATTTAAGAAAAACTTTAATAAGCAATTTCTCTGAACAGTTTCCCTTTGCCCAGTAATGTTTACCTGTGTATTATCACCTATACGGGAAACAATGAATAGCAACAATGTAGCCTGTCATTCATGTTGTAAGAGATGGACAGTGAGGGTTGGCACAATACTGGCTACCTCATCCTGCAGACATTTGTAGCTGCAGAAAGCCACCAGTCATAAATTACCTCATTTTTAAGTGTATAATGTGAGTATGGTTTGAGTTGGTTGAGGTCTGGGTTCCATTTAAAGGCAAGAGAAAAAGAAAAAGAAGAAAGAGGTCAGTTGTTTATGTTTGCTCATATTTTTTAACTTCCAGTCATTTTTTATGTCTTTTTTTTTTTTTTTTCTAATATGTATTTTTTTCCTGATTTCCTGTCATTTTTTCCTTGTGTAAAGTTTAAATGATGACGATGATTTGTATCATGTGCTGCCATCCACAGGATTTGTACAGTTTATTCAGAAGGATATCAGTGACACCAAGCCTGTGCTGTTGGACAACACCCTCAGGCTTCTGTCCCAGCTGTTGATGCAGTGGAAGTCCACTATGGGAGCTCAGCAGAGGGTGAGTGAGATTACTGCGTTCTCACACTGGCATCTAACTTACTTATTTAGTCAATCCTCTTTCACCCTTTTTCATAGCAAAGGCAAACGGAAGTCGCCTAGTGCAGAGCATGTTCAGAAAGGTGAAAACAAGCATCCTACGTGCAGAGTGGCAAGCATTACTTCAGAGGTTCGGGTAGTTAGCATCCTTTGGATATTTTCTCCAGTCATTCTGGTGTGTTGAGAAATGAGCAGGCAGATAGACTGGCTGGCCCTGCACCACTTGGTGGTGAATTGATGTATGACAAGTTAGATATTGTGAGGGCCTTTTGGGAACTGGTGAATAGTGAGGAGGCACAGATAGATCATTACGGTCTAAGGAGAATAGCGCTGCTCGGAGTTACCCGGGGCTCTGGCTGACGCTCAACACTCAAGGGAAGGATAAGACGGATATACAATTAGACGGTTACTGGTACCTTTGGAATTTACGTCTAGTAGTTTGCCATTGCTTTCTGGACGGTCGGCTTTTTGATACCACTGTCAAAACCCACGCAAGGTGCAGGGCCCGCAGCTGAGATCGAACCCGGCACCTCGGGACTACGAAGTGCGTTCGCAATGCCTAAGCCACAGATGCCGACCCATTCATCTGTACTTGTTTCCTTTCTTCCCATTATGAATTTAGACGGGTGGGGTAAGTATCACATACTGTATATTATTTTGTTAGTATTATATTTTCCTCTTTGTTTACATATTTGAATGTAGCCATTTCAGAGTCGGTTCATTTTTTTATGTGTTTTGTTACTTCTTGTTATTCTTGTTACTTCTTGTTATTCTGTAGATGAAGGCTACTCAGCACAACTTCCATTGTTTGTATATTATAATTATTTCTTTAAATTTCAAAATGCATGTTCTTTTTTTGAACACTGCAGGACCCAACTCAGCCGGCACCTAATGTTGATGTTTTGCATGAAGTGGAAGGTCTGTGTCTAGTCATGATGTGCAGCTGTCGAGTGATGACCCGTAAGCTGGCCCTGCATCTACTGAAAGAAGTTCGAAACATCTTCACCATGTACTCTGATGATCAAGTATGCAGTCTTGTCTGTTTATGTGTAGTTTTAGATTTAGATAGAGAAGACAGGGCAAAGTGGAAGACAAGGGAGCAGATTCATAAAATATGGAAGAGAGGTCAAAGTGGAAGACAGGTTAATAAAATATGGAATTGGGGGCAAAGTGGAAGACAAGGGGGCAGACAGGTTCATAAAATATGGAAGAGAGGTCAAAGTGGAAGACAAGGGGGCAGACAGGTTCATAAAATATGGAATTGGGGGCAAAGTGGAAGACAAGGGGGCAGACAGGTTCATAATATGGAATTGGTGGCAAAGTGGAAGACAAGGGGGCAAACAGATTCATAAAATTTGTGGCTGGTTTGTAAAAAGCTTTTAAATGTATGTACAAATGTGTGTGTATATGCATAATGAATAATATATGCAACCTTCTTCTTCATGTTCCACAGCTGTAAACTGCGGCAGAAAGTTCTTGTTGTTCTTTCGCGTCTGGACTAAAGTATTGTTCCAGAACTGGAGTTGTGAATGCACATTCTTTTTTTTTTTTTTTTTTTTTTAACAGATCTAGCTTATCTGTCCGTTTAGATCCGTCAAAATCGAGGCTTAGATATAAATTTCGTGACAAAATGAAGTTTTCACGAAGGTGGGGGTGTAAAAAGGTAAAAACTGTATATACAAGGGAGCTGGATGGTCGTAGACCACAAGGCAGACCAAGAAGACGATGGAGAGATAACGTTCAGACAGACCTGCAGACACTTGGTGTCACCAACTGGAAAGAGAAGGCCAACCAGGGAGATGAGTGGAGGCGGGTGATATCTGCAGCAATAAACCTCAAGGGCTCGGAATGCTGAAGAAGAAGATTCTTATTTGTTCCTCACCTCATAGGCAGATACACTTTAGCTTTAAAGGATACACTGCTGATCAGTTAATTGCCTTCTGCGACATTTGTTAGGGAGCAGTGGGTCTGCCCACCCATCCTCCCACCCACAAATGGGGCATTGTAATCCACTGGGGTTTTGTAAACCACAGAGCAGTCAGTGGATCATGTGAGCCTATATTTTACTGTCATCTTTGTTAGGTAGGGACAGACTGGGAGCCCTAGGTCAATTATTAATTTAAAAAATATAAAAACTGATCTTTAAAAAAAATATAAAAAAAGCTTTTATTTAACATCTGTCACATAATTATTAATACATTTAAGACAAAAATAATTTAATAGACGCACAAGATTAAAAAATTCTCTTTAGAAAACGCAGCTACAATTTTATTACACGGCTAATAAAAGTTTGGGGCATCCTTGAATGTAGTATACGTATAATCACATAATATTTGTGTATGTAACAACTGATTGACCAGTATATACATATGGCTTATAGTTTTGACAAGTCAGTTCGAATCCTATAGTTATGCTCATTTTGATAGCTTATAATAAAGTACTGTAAAAATCTAATGTAAAATGGGTACCAAACAAACACAAAAACAAACTGAAACAAAAGCGAACTTAATAAAAGCTTATAAAATCTGTCTGGATATGGGCTCAAGCCTGTGCCTTTCCGGCCAGCAAACAAGCATTTAACCACTCTACTAGAATATATGAGTGCATACATATTTAAAAAAAAAAAAAAAAAACTTTAAAAAAAAAATATAAAAAACTGCGATGAGCAACACCAAATGTTGTACAAGTGATAATTTTGTGACAAATTATGATAAACATACTGTGGTTTAATTATAATAAAATCTTTTCTGGGTTACTGGGGCCCAAAGGTCAGGGCTATTCATCTGGCGGCAGGTGGGCTGAATCTGACTCACGAGGCCTATCAAGTTGCTTGTGAACCATTGTATTGTATTGCATTAATGATCTTTCTACTGCTGGGACCTGTGGCCTGTGTTGATACCATTTTTCAGTTTTGGCTTCTGGCTAAATGTAGAATACCTGCCATAGACTATAAGAAGAATAAGAATGCACTATAATTTCCCCATGTACATACATTTTTAGGGGATCGCCATGGCGTAGCGACTAGATGTTCATCTGTGGATCGGAAGGTCGTGGGTGCACTCCCCGGCGGAGCCAGACTTTTTTCAAAAATGATCTTGGCTCTCAGGTGGACCCAGCCTTGAGTGGGTATCAGGTGCAGTCCTGGGAAGTAAAGGCGGCTGGCGTGATACTGACCACATCACCAAACTTGTGCAGTTGGTCTATAAAATACAGGTCTAGCCCTATATACCCAATATGCATGAAAGGCGTGGAAAAGGGTCCTCTACCTTTTTGTATACACTTTAAGAATAAAAAAACTGAAAAATAAGCATGTAGACACTTTTTCATATGGTTGCTGGCACTGCCCCTAAAACACCAATGTACCTTCTTGGTTATTCACAGGTGAGTTTTACCAGTCTGTTAGAGGTGATTGACAAGGCCTGCCCAACTGTTCTGGAAAAGTTGATACCCTTGTTACCAGCTTCTGAAAAGGTAAGAATGTCAAGAAACTCAGAGTGTATGGAACATCATACAACTTAAAAAAAAACAGTTATATCTTTGATGATAGAGTGTGGTTTTTGTAATTGTGATATATTTTAAATCCGACCTATGTTGTGTTATTGCAGTGGACGTCGCTGCACATTTGGCATTCCCAGTTAACATATACTTTGTGTTGAGGGGCTGCGTGGTCTCGAGGCATGGTGTCTGCCTCGAGTGCTAGAGGTTCCGGGTTCAATTGCCGGTAAGGGCTGGGATTTTTTTCTCTTGGACTTGGACTTCTAGTATTTCCCCCTGGTCTCTGGGTAGTGAGATCAGACGCCCGTGTACATTGTTGCGCACATAAAAAATCCCTTGGCAGTTGGAAATTGAAAAGAATAGCTTAACGGTGCTGCCCTGGCAAAATTTGAATGTTTCAGGATCCTCACCGGTGCTACAGAGCCTGTGCAATGTGCTGACTTGAGTTCTTGTTTGCACATTGCATGCTTATCTGAAATTAATAAAAGTCTTGTCTTTTGCAGCCCATTCTGTTGACCTTGCCCACAGTTGACCTTGCCTGGGTCACCGACCGAGCCGTGACGCTGTGGCTGCCAGCAGGGGGCGGTAGCATGCAAGATGGTAACCAGATCAACTATAGCTTTCACCGTGTGGACATGTGGATTCGTTGCATAGCTGAGTTTGCATCTCGTGAGCATGCACAACATGCTTGCCCACATGCTGTCAGCCACGCTTGGCCTATAGTCTTTACCAGACTCAATGCCCTGTTTCCATTGGTTGATCCAAGGTAGGCAGGTTTTAGTGTTTTTCAAGTTAAATCTTTATTTTTTTTCTACATTGCTGCTGAAAACTGGAAGTATCCTCCTCCTCTTCTTCTTCTTCTGCGGCTGCTGCTGGTGCTGCTGCTGCTGCTCTTCCTTCTTTTTTTTTCTTTTCCTCCTCTTCCTCCTTCATCTACTTCTTTTTTGGTGGCGTTAACATTCTTATCTATCGTCTTGTTCTTGTTCTTCGTCTTTGGTGGCGGTGGTGGCTTTAAATGTCTTCTTTGTTGTCTTCTTCTACTGCTTCTTTGTCTTCTTCTTCTTCTTTGTCGTCTTCTTCTTCTGCTTCTTTGTTTTCTTCTTCTCCTTTGTTGTCTTCTTCATCTTCTTCATTTTCTTCTTCTTTGTTCTTCCGCAAAATGGTGGCTGGCACATTATGTGGTAGTTTACAGCTAGAAGGAAGTGTGTGTATTCTCTCTGCCTTCCCCCCTCCCCCAAAATTTCACCACCAGGAACGCACATTAGGAATTGTTTTATTTGTTTAATTAACATAATAATTTGTTGATCATGAAATTTTTTTTTTTTACAGCACACAAACTGAGCAGACTAGGGCATCCTCGATCCTGCGATCAGGCAGCAAGAAAGGAACCTCTGAGAAAGATGTACACATGCAGCTATGGCAGAACTACGTGATCTTGGCATGCACCATAGCCATGCATAGTGCCGGCATGCCACAGCGGTGTTCCTCTCCTGAGTTAGGGTGAGTCGTTTGGGGAACATTGTCCAGCTACATCACAGTAATGTCATATACAGTGCTTCTCGTTTGGGTTTTGGGGAACATTGTCCAGCTACATCACAGTAATGTCATATACAGTGCTTCTCGTTTGGGTTTTGGGGAATATTGTCCAGCTACATTACAGTAATGTCATATACAGTGCTTCTCGTTTGGGTTTTGGGGAACATTGTCCAGCTACATCACAGTAATGTTATATACAGTGCTTCTCGTTTGGGTTTGCAGGACTCTTATTTTTGGGGAACAAAGAAAAGCTCCCCACCACAAGCATTTCTTGGGAGTTGAATGATTACGGGCGTGTTTCCTTCAAAGTGCGTCTGCCTGTAAGGCACGAAACCAACAGTCTGCATTCAAATACGCCAGATCTGTGAAACGGGATGTGCAAAGCAAAACAAGTTCTGGAACAGCACCAAAGATAACCAGAATTTTCCGTCAGAGTTCACAGCTGGTGAGCGCTAGGGAGAAAGAAGAAGATATACAGTTCTGGCTGACTGGCATGTCACTGAGCAGTCTGTTTCCTTTGTTCTTGAAGAAGTCAGTAACAGAAGATTACATGTGTTGTCCAGCAGGGAAAAGTGATAAAATGGAAAGTAAAATATTTTTTAGCTGGTATTCACCTCTGCCTGCGGTGACGAAAGATAAATTATCAGGCACCTTGAACATCCTCTGCTCCCTAATTATTTAAAGGGGAGGCTAAGGCTCCCATCTCCCATTCATAATAGGGCTGAGCCCTCCTCCCCACCATTATTTCTAATGGGTTGAGGCCCTCCCTCATTGAACATTTGCAAGTGTCCGGAGTGGTAACCCTAACAGATGTTCTTTTTGAGAATTTGTTTATACTTTTCATATAATGTCAGATATAACACATTATTGTTTGCTGTTCAGTTCACCACTTAGTAATTATAATTATTAGTGGACACTTGAACAGTTCATGAGCATTCCCCCCCAAATTATATTTCTAGGTGACTGCATACCTAACCCCCCACACACACATTTA